CAGCGCCAAAGGACATATCCGTTAAGTCGTGAATGCAGTCTCGCAGAGTCCTTCCCAGGTTGGTTGTTTTCTCTTGCCCGATGCTATACGAATCCATTGGGATAATCATTGCCAAGGGGTGGTCGGTCGGTAGCTTCAGGGCCCGGAGAGCATATTTTCTCTGACGGTAGCAAAGAAGACTTGATGCGGGATGTAGGCCAGCTTCTCTGACCAGTGGTCCTATGGGTGTCGTCCGTAGCATACCTGTGATGGCGCGGGCATGCTCATTGACGAGTTTCTGGATTTGGAGGACTCTCCTCCATTCTAAAGCGTGACATGCAATTGCGTCATTGGTAATACAAAAAAAACTAACACCAACATGAAGCGAGCTTTCGTGGCCAAGTTGGTAAGGCGCAGCACTAGTAATGCTGAGATCAGCGGTTCAAATCCGCTCGAAAGCAGTCATTATTTTACCTTTTCTTCCTTTTTTAGCTCTTTGTAGTGTGTTTCTTTCACAAGCGTCTACCTTTTCCATGAATTGTTGAGTAACCGTCAGCATCGGCATGTGCGTGTATCCGTCGCAGGCAGATGGAAACATGATGCCATGATTCGAGCATCACATCCTTCTCAAAGTCCTTCTAGATAACAAAAAAAAAAGAAATACTGGCGTATTGTGTGCTAGCGACAATCATTCTCTCAATCCCTGTTGCTCCGAATGTGTTCTATTGGGCCTGGCGATTCTTTATTTGTGGTCGAAGCGTCGATGCAAGTTTGGATTTGCGAAATCGGGTGTTCCACGCCGAGTGAGCAGAGAAGCAGTGGGAGCGAGAACGGGTATTCTTGACTTGGATGTTAATGGCGGATGTTTCGTGAATTTGCATGTCGCGATGATGTCGCCACATGTGTGTGTTGAATGTGGTTGGACAATCCCACGACGGTTGCTTGGGGAGAACGGTAATGGTATCACAGTACGCAATTGGATTAGATCGCATAGACGCTCGGAGGACAATTTTAGGCGAATTGTCGGGTTGGTTTGTGTGATATAGTCGAGGTTCGTGAGCGAGGTGGAAAAAAATTGCCAGACGTTTCCGCCGGCGCATGTGTGGCTCCTTATTCACTGCTGAGGAAGCTTGCTGTGACTCTCTGGAAGACGGGATCAAACAGCAGGTCGAGGATTTCTCCAGGGCAATCATGTTCGTTGGTTGGAGTAACGGATTGGAAACCGGTGTTAATCAAATGACGGGCCCTCAGACGATTTCTGTTCTGAGGGAAGGCGTACATCTTGCTAAAGCGTTGCTGGGCGAGCAGGATTCTTTCGGAAGTAATAGCCCATGCTCTGGCCGGCCTGGTCGTCAACGATTGTGCGCTGCGTGAGGCCTTCTCCAAGGTCGTGCGCGACCTCGTGTGCTTCCAGCTTCATTGTGATGTTCTCCAGCTTGGAGATCATCGCGCCGATCATCTCCCGGAGCTGATGTAGGTCGTTGCACTGTCGTCCAGCGATGTCCAGGTCCTCATCATGGGTGCCCCAGGAGATGTTCGGCAATGGGTCCTCGGTCGCCTGGTAACCTCATGTCTCAACCCACTATCGACAAGGAAATCTCACGGAAGAAAACAGTCACGTTCGCGGACGTGACCCCGTTGTGGTGGGAGTTTAGTTCTTCTCCGTACTGCCTGTCGGTAGCTGAATAGATTCCGATGAGGTGTTGACGGCAGCAGCGAGATCGTGAGACATGGCTGAAGCAGTGCCAAATTGGCTCCCTTGCGGATGGATCGCCATGATCGATATTAAATGGGAGAGGAGGGCGGCTTTCTCTGATCTCCCTTGAAAGTTCTGGAAGATCATTCATCGCATTACTTAGTAGATGGCAGCTTCTAGGGGATCTTGGATTAACATGGAATGATCGTAATCTGTCTTCCTTGTTGGGCCGGTGGATTCGATCTCCTCACTTTCTTCGCTCGGTTCCTCTTCTTGCTCATCTCGTTCGGCTACTGAAACTGCTATTCTCGACCAAGTCGTGTGAAATCAACGACGCTGTGCGGAACTATTGCCTGGGGGATGAATGGGCGTGCATGATTGTTATGCGGTGTGGGAGGAGGGGAGCTCCAATTTTCGTGTCATGACGAGATTGTGTCCCATGAACCTGCAAACCAAACAAATCTCTTGGGAATTGCTTGTGTTTGTGTATTTCGTTCAGCCTGCGCGTTGTCCCAATCAGCGTTATTCTGGGGGCCGCCGCAACGGGTACTGTGGACGTTGAGTTCATTCAAGGAGCTGATGACGACGGTGACGAGAGCTTTTCCTGAGGGCAGCAGGAGATGCCGAGGACGAGAACTGGAGATAGAGGTAAAAATGACGAAGACGAATGCTTTACTGGGGATTTCGATGACGAAGCCCAGCGCCAGAGGAAAACAGGCGATGGCAAGAAAGAGAGGTGTTGCGGGACAGTTCCCGGCGATGATGAGCATGGCTTGCGCCCAATAGGGCCAGTTTGATAGGGTGCCTTTTGTTCTCTACGGGAGAAGTAGTATGCGAGATGTTGTATCATTTTATCGTATGGCTCTTATCATGATTTGGAGGGAGAGAGAGTAGTGACGGGGAAGGTGGATGTAGTTATGTCAAGTTGAACAAATCGTATGGGACTGTTTTCCTTTTTTATTGACGCGAAAAGTTCATCGGGAAAACCCCCTTTGACAATATCACAATTATTGTCGCCAGCTCTGGCCCAAGAGTTTTTCCATGCTTTTGTCCCAAGATACAAAATTTCCACCGGTATCTACCGACGAAGGAACTCACTTTAGTGTCCTGCGCATCTTCGTTTGGGCTCGCTGGCCGTAATCCCATCCATCCAACCATTAATCCTCCGTCTCCACGCCCACACCCACCATCCCACATTAACGGATCGGATACAATGCCCTCTTTGAACTGTCACTGTCACCATCAACATCACCATTCATCATGTCCGCCGCACCCAAAATCCTCCCATAGAAAAGTTCCCGCAGCCACCCACTCAAGTTTCGATTTGATACCCACACATGAGCTATCCCGCTTCATACAATCGCCACAACTTCACGGGCAAACCGGCCAAGTTCAAGATGCTGAAAAAGAAAGCATATTCGCGCCCCCATACAGTCTCACTGAAATTGAATACACTACACTCCTGGGGTGGGCATAAAAGACTCCACGCGCGCCCGCCGCGGATGGTGTCTTCCCACATTCCCTTCGTTGCTGTGAACGCCCGGCCAGGTCGACATCATATTTTTCTCACACCGTTGGTCGGTTTAGTAAGTTTTCCCTGCGAACATTTGTGTTGTTGAGCTGACTCCAGTGTTGAAGCATCGTGTTATACCCAGCATCGTCGCACCCCGGCCTGCGTCCACAACAACCACCACACCCAGCCAGGAATTAGAAAGGCAGGGCCCAGGCCATCATAACGTTCACACACACACACACATGTAGGTTCCTGGCGTTCCGGCGCACTGATTGTAACTGAAGCTGACCAACTTGAACTCTCTAGTTATATCCCACCGACCAATCAGCGAACTCAATCCCACAACCACACCGTAACCCTCCTCCAATCCTCCAATTTAACCCTCCGGACCCAAGCTCCCGAATTCGCCACACCGCTAGCACTCTCCCTTAGATCCAAACCCTCCTCACCGTTACCCCGACATGACCCACGCAGTCACGATCCTCGTTATTCCCAGCATGTTCGCAATCATATTTCTCTTCTATGTACTAGTAACATTGTGGCTCCATTTGAGATTAAAAAGCTTGGAAGGGAGACTTGAATATGATCACTCACAGGGCTGGACTGTCCCGTATGGGATAAAGGGGAGGCGATGTTCTAGTTGTGAGGGGTACGGGGTCGGGGGAGGTTACTGGAGGCCGCAACAGATTTGTAGTGTTGAAAGAAGAATGCGATAGTGATTTATCCAGTATTATAGTTTCAAGCGTTCAGCTTGGCTGGTATCGGCTCAAGAGCGGCAACATAGCATAACATCGAAACCGCTGACATCGAAAAACCGAAGCCAAGTGACGATCAATGCATCACCTATATCTTCATTACCAAGTCTCCTACACGTCATAAAATATCGTCGAACTTCAACTTCCATTTTTACTACGGATTCAAACGGAGTAGTCCATTCATTCATTCATAAGTGCATACATCATAACCTCGTAACCCCCGGGCCTCCCCCTACCGGCCTAGCACCTTCACTCCGGTTTCTGGCCCACCACATTCCACACATACGTATATCCATGCACCTTCCTAGTTTCCACCTCCTTAAAAGCATCCGCATTCAACTTCTTTGCCTCCTCCTCCGTCATCCCCCCAAAGTGCGTGAAGAGCATGAGACTATAAGCTTCCATTCCGGTCTGTAGCTGGAGCTGATTCACGGCACCGATATATTTGGTCGCATTGTTCTTGGGCCATGGTCCTACGGTGAATGTTGTTAATATGGATGCTTTGAATGGAATATTGTGAGCTTGAAGGGTGAACTTACCCCATGGAACGCGAACTGGGTACACTTGGACGTTGATGTAGCCCGCGTCTTCGAGGGATTGCTTCAGGGTGTCCCCAGTGATGCGGCTGGGGTCGATACCCGATTTGCGAAGACATTGGGAGAGAGATGTGGACCACTTCTCCAGGGCGGAACCTTTGTAGGTGTCATCATCGCAGGATATACCATCGAGTGACCCTTCTGCAAAGCGTTAGTAGTCAACATCAGTAGCAGCACCATTCTCCTTACCAGCAAGCTCGATAAATGCGCCAGGAGCGCTATGTTTAAAACATTGCGCAACGAACCGTGGCCAGTCTTTGATCGAAAACGCCAACGTCCTTGCATGAATATAGTTGAAATTCTCCAGTTGGTATGTCCAGTCTTTTTCCAAGTCATCGCACTCGAACTTGACCTATGAAACTGTCAACCCAGAGTTTTCTCTTCTCCGCCAATAACCCCTAGCAACGATACTCACATTCGGATATGTCCAGCTGGGCTGAATCGGAGAAAGATCCACGCCAATAACTTGCGACCCGGGATGCTGATCGCCAAACTCCAGCGCCCAGATACCGGTCCCGGTTCCAGCATCGAGAACGGTGGCGGGGTCGCCACGTTTTTTAAGCGGCGCTTTGTAGAGGTCCCCGTCGCGTAGGAGAGTCAAGAGGTGGTGCGCGAGATCGAGGCGATCCTGTTCAGTCTCGTCGGATGGCAAGTGGTACTGCAGTCATGGGTGGTCAGTTCTTTTGAATGTGAGGAGAGGGATACGGGGGCGCTCACCTTTCCAGAAGACTTCTCATGGTAACGCCGACCTAGGCACAAAATTAGTTCAAGTTCGAAGCGCTCACAGTGGATATGTTACCATTCTCATAGTAGTGTTGGCGGATGCTGCTGGTGAGACTTTCGGTGCTAAGTCTGAAGAATTTGTCAGTATTCCTTGTCTTCCAAACACCCCCATGAAAGG